AACATGCATAGCAGTTAAGAGTGCCAGTATGCCTCTAGGCAAGTAAACAAAGAGGAACTGCGATCCAAGAAATCTCTACAAATCTGGCTCCTCTCTTGACAAATCCTAATCCTTTTCAATCTGGGGATACCATGGATCTGGCATGTTGTAAGGATTACTGAAAACACCCACAAAGTATTTTGAACAATCCTATTTGTTACATCCCAGCTTTCCTTCAAGGAGCGGAAGGTGGTAAAGATGACTTCTCTCCCCCCCCCCATTTTATCTTTACAGCCACCCTGTGCAGTAGGCACGTAACTTAGGTTGAGTAATTGGCCCAAGGTCAGTCTGTGAATGTCATGGCCTCAGCAAGGATTTGAGCCTGGGTATTCCCAATTGAATACTCTTTAACTGTTAAAAGCCACTGGTTTACAGAACTCTATAAATACAAATCCACCAAGCGACCCCCTCATGCAAAATTTAAATGCAATTACAGGTGGGGGGGGGAGGGCGGGGTATAAATTGAATTAAATAAATAAATAAATAAAGACCCTTGCCTCTGTTATTAGATGGCAGATTAAAAAGACTACCCAATGCAAAAGCCTTCCCACTATCCAATAGGCACTTGACAATATTTCCCAGGTCAATTGATTAAATTCCCCCACACATCAAGTGGCATGACTGTTGACCAGGCTTGAGCTCTGGCTCCTCAGCTCTTAGCCAAAGTGACTAACTAGACCCCCCACCCCAACTTCAGAGCTAGCAGTTCACTGAGTACTAGTGCTGGGGAAGGATAACGGGGATATTCCAGGGGTATCTGGTTAGCTGCTGTGTGAAATAGGATGCCGGACCGGACAGGCCGCTGTTCATATGGTCACTCTCATGAGAATAAAACGGCCAACATTGTAATGCCCCCATATAGATCTATGGTGCAGCCTCATTTGGAATCCTGTGTACAGTTCTGGTCATCACCGTATCTCCAAAAGGACATTGCAGAGCTGGAGAAAGTACAGAGGAGGGGCAACCAGGATGATTAGAGGGCTGGAGCACCTTCCCTATGAGGAAAGGCTGAAGAGTCTGAGACTCAAAAGTTTAGAAAAGAGACAACTAAGGGAGGACATGATAGAGGTTTATAAAATTACGCATGTGGTGGAGAGAGCTGGCGAAGAGATATTTCTGTCTCCCCCAAAATACCAGAACTCGAGGTCATTCAGTTAAACTGATGGACAGTAGATTCGGGACAAAAGGAAATACTACTTTACATGGAGTGATTAAAATGTGGAAGTCTATCAATGCCTACTAGCCATGCTGCCTATGGGGAACTGCCACATTCAGAGGCACTAAACCTCTGAATTCCAAGGCCTGAAGGCAACAATCAGGGGAAGGCTTCAAGCTCTATGCCCTGATGGTGGCCGTCCAGAGGAAATGGTTGGTTACTGTGTGAGACAGGATGCTGGACTGGATGGACCACTGGTCTGATTCACGCAGGGCTCTTCTTATGTTCTTATGAAGGACTCAGCCTCTATGCCCTGCTGCTGGGCCTCCAGAGCAACTGGTTGGCCACTGTGTGAGACAGGATACTGGACTAGATGGACTACTAGTCTGATCCAGCAGGGCTCTTACGTCCTCTTTCAGCCCTGCATGCAATCCAGATATATAGCATCCCTCCGGCTGTACAGAAAAGCCTAGGTTAGCCGTATCTGTCAACAAATCACCTGTTCTTCTAAACATTGGCACAGCCAAGACAGGTGGATGAGTTATACCAACATGATTCAGCTCCAACAGTGCCTGAGGCACCCAAATCAAGGCTGTGGACCACACCCAGGACTTTGGTCTCTTCTTGGCAGAGCCCAGGTAAGCAGCCCAGCCACACCCAGAGAGATCTGGAAAGCAAGACTTGAGCCAGTAAAGCAGGAAGTGTGTGCAGGGGAGAGATATAGTAACAGGGTGAGATAGGAGATAAGAGAATGACCAGGCCAGGTATGGAGCCAGGAAAGGCACTTTGACTGCTGCAATGCACTCAATGAAAGGTTACCCTTGAAAATATTCAGATGGTTGTGGCATCCTGTCTCATCCTAAGGAGGGAACTTGGAAACACACTGCACTAGACTTCTGGCATCAAGACAGACTCCTGTTATTACAGGCAACAAGCTGCTCATTTTAAGCTAGCAAACTGTGCATAGGCCTGTAGGCTTGCTGTGGTCACCTGAAAGGATTTCAGGCAGACTTCCTTGTGGGAGCCAGGAAAAATAAATCACTACTGTTTGAGTGGCCAGTACAGCCCTTGTGCTATACCAAGCAGGTGCGCACAGTTGCCTCCTCCCATCTGCCCATCTACAATTCATGCACCATCCCAGCCTTTTCAAGCCTATATTCAGGTCAGGCAGCACAGGCACAAGGATGCATTTGATGTTAACTGCCCTCTTTCAGTTTCCCTGTCCATCCATCCCCCTCATCACTGCAGACTCAAAGCTCAAACACAATTATCAAAGATGGCTTGTTGGTCCGACTGTAGGGCTGGTCAGGAAGCAGAGGTGAAAAATAGAGTGAATATCAGTCTTCCGTTCCATTTTGCTCAACTTGGGAGCTTTGCCTATCCATCCTAAACTACTGGGGCTACAGACAGGCTTTGTTACGCTGTAGATCCAAAACGGAGAAGGAAAGCAACAGTTAAGCTAGCTTGAGGCAAGAACGTCACAGGATTTTCCACAGATTGTTCTGTGAAACTTTTAATGCTCATGCTTTTTAAGTTACAGAGAAGCCGGTTTAGGCTAACAGAACTCCCCAACCATGCCGGGTTAAACACTGGTTCAGCTCTCCCCCTTTCCCAGGGTTTCCACTCAAGCAAAATGTGCATATTTGGTCAACTGGCAGGAATTCATTCACATACCTTGGCACAAGCTCTGGAATATTTTAGCACCAAGTTAAAGAAAAGCCCATGTACTTGATGTACTCCGCCCCGCTGCTCCCCCCACCTCCGCCCCAGGTGAGAAAGGAGCAGCAGACACTAGAATAGCATTAATTTTTTTATTGAAGGTCATTATTGGTGCTGCTTCCATATTTTGTTAAGTTCCACTGGGTGGGGCAATTCCACCCCCAACATTGAGATGGGTGCAACTTTTCTCCACAATATCTTATTTATACACAGTACTACAGACAAGCACAAAGCCACTATGGCAGATAAGGGGGGGGAGGGGTTTAGTCGGTCGGGGCCCCCTGGGCCTTCAGATGCCCTCTCCCCCTTGAAGCCTTGGCCAGGAGCGAGTCCTGCTTGGAGTGGTCCCATGGCTGGAATGGAGAAAAGCAGATGGTCCCCCGGGGGGCAAAGGAGGCAGCCAAGGACTGGGGCCCAGAGAGGAATGTCACCTGAAAGACTGGGCCTGGAAAGGAGTGGGGGGAGGCGTGAGAGAAGAGTTGTCGACGGTTTGGCAAGTTTCAACAGCAGCTGCGAGGTTGGGGGGGGGGGCAGCTGCTTTTACAGGAGGGGAGCACCAGATGGGTGAAGATGGAAAAGGCAGAGAACTGGAACATAACTAAAAAGGAGGAGCCCACCCCACATCCCACCCACCAACCCAAAAACGGTAGCACAGGGCCATTAACATGGAAGCTCCGGAGACACTGGCACGACAGGGGAGGGGGCTCACAAGGGCTTGCCCTCCAAACTGATGACAGCACTGCCGCCCAATTTCTCCGCCAGGGTGCAGCGGTCCTTCACTTCTTCATAGCAGTTTGCTTGCACCTCGTGTTTGATCCCTGCAGAGGGAGGAAAATAAAAAGAGGTGGGAAGTGAACAGGCAGTTTCCCAGTGCTGTCTTGATAATCTGGCGCTCCCCCCCCCCCCTTTCCCATCCACCTCTGAAGCTAGCTGGTTGGAGACAGAACAAAGATTGTTCGGGAAAAACCATTCTCAGCCAGCAGAGCCGAACAGCAATCGCATCCTGAAGGGAGGGGATGGGAGAGAGTCACCATAGCAGCAGCAAGCTATCCATCCTTCACCCGTGTATTTGGCCTACCATCAGTTACCCTGTGGCCTCACTGCCACCTCTTGCAAGAAGCCAGCTGTGACTTATCAGTCATACCGCCACAGCCAAAGTAGGATGCTGCTGGTAGTGCCACAGCCAGCCGGAAAATTGAAGTTACTTGTCAGAACACACCATGTACGAATCACCGTGACCTGGGGCAGGAAGACTAACCTATCTCACAGGGTTATGAGGATAAAATGGGGAGAACCAAGCATATAGCCCACAGCTCTTTGGAGGAAGGGCTGGCTAAAAACACAACGGACGGGGAAACCCCCCCCCCTTCACCACCCAACTCTCAGCAACAGAAGGGTGCATGTGTATTTGGGCCCAACCTGTCATTCAGTTCAGAGCATCCGCAGCCATTCTGCCCACCTAGCTGCTGCATAAACCCCGAGACTAAGATATTTTTTAAAGTGATCTTCTGAAAGATAGAAAAGGCAAGAGCTAAACAGACCACACCAAGTGTGGGGAGCAGTGGCACAAAATTGTATTTGAAGCCCTTCTAGACTTGACTGGCTCTCAAGTCCAGCTTATAGTAACCACCATTTGTTGAGGGACAAATACAGTATAAAGTACTTTTCAAAACCCAGTGCTATGATCACACAAAAGTAGGAGTCGCAGCATCACAATGCTCTGCTGGCACTGCTCACCAGAGGTGTTCACAGCCTGCTAATCCCAAATGACAGGATGCAGTGAACGATGAAGTTTACACAAGCCTAGCGCTCCAGGGCTGAGCCACAAACCACTTCATGGCTTTCAAGCAACACAATATTGAGACATGGGATTAAATAGTGGAAACAATGCCAACATCCCTGTATTACAACCGTGTTCGCTCACCTGTAAGTTTCTTCTTGATGGCATCCTTAGAACTGGCATAAATCATCTTGCTTTTGAGGGGGGCACACTCAGGCGCCCTGTAGGTAGAGAACAGCAACCTTAGTACAACAGGAGCCAGACCAACTCAACTCTGGAGCAGAGAAGGAACAGCTTGTAGTCTAAAGGAACAGGTTTCTGGCCAGCAAACAAGTCTGCGTACAGGGGAAGACAGCCTGTGGCTGCTACTGCCTGTTAACCCCCGAGGCAAAGGAGTAATTCCTCAGACAAGGAGCCCTCATCTGTTTCCTTTTAACACCTGTATCCTCTAGTATGCTGCATGTCTCTTTTAGAACATGGTTCCCAACAAACACAAGAAAATGAGTCCCATACTCATTAGTATGCATGTAGTCGCATTCCTTAGTGGTGCGCAATGCAGTTTCCAGAGTTAAACATTACTCAGCTAATGCACTCTTGCAACACTACAATTATGTATTTGAGCAAAAAGTACCATTGGCTGATCTTCTAGCAGCAGCCACGACCCTACTGGGTGGGAAGGGAGCAACATTGTGTTCAGACCTCACCCTATGCGCCACCTCTAGCTAAATCTCTTGTCCTTAATGCAGACATTAATGCCAGCACACACCCATTGGGTGCTAGAGATATCTAGGATTGTGGCATATCCTATCCTGCATTCCCAAGATTCACAAACAGTGGATGTTAACACCATGTCCCCAATGTAAGCAGCTTCCCAAGAATGAGATGACCAGGAGCAAAACCCCAGAATTGCATTGAAGAAGAGTTGTTTTTTTATATCCTGCTTTTCTCTACCCTGAGGAATGGCATACAATTGCCTTCCCTTCCTCTCCCCACAACAGGTGCCTTGTGATGTAGGTGAGGCTGAGAGAATTCTGAGAGGACTGTGACTGGCCCAAAGGTCACCCAGCAGGCTTCACGTGGAGGAGTGGGGAATAAAACCTGGTTCTCCAGATTAGAGTCCACCACTCTTAACCACTACAACAAAGCTCTGAACCCTCCACTCTAGTAACCTGCCAGTTACAAAGGGTCCTGTCCTCAATTCCTTCTGAAATAGGGATGGCTCTTGGTTCAGCCCTTCTCCCACACCCCATTAGGGAAGGAGATTCAGCAGTGCATGGATAATAAGCTTCTTGCAGAGACCCGAAAGTAAGGTTGGACAGGCAGCTGCTGGGGAACAGGTGACAAGGCAGTCCTCTATCCATGCCTTTTGCCACCTTCTCACCAGCCTGGGAGAGACTCTGGAACAGTGACTTATTATATTGGAATTTCTATGAAACAAAGCAGCAGAAAGGGCCAGAATGAGAACGAGTTGGTATCAACTTGGCAGGAGGGGAAGGAGTTCCTCACCAGAAGATGAAGACGAGGTCTTCCTTTTTGCTCTCCTTGGTCTCATAGGTGGCATCATAGAGGGCGTAGCGGCAGTCACGGTCAGGCAGCATCTTGACAAAGTGCAAGTACGGGTCATCAATGGTGTCCCCAATATCCCCCACCAGAATCTCCTTTCCCTCCTCCAGGATGATGTTCTTCTTGTCTTCACTCAGGCAGAAGAGCACAGCCTTCTTGCGTTTTTTGACCTCCTCTGGGGTAGAAGCCTTACGCACTTTCATGTCATTGAAGACTTTGATGACCCCATCAGAAACCGCTACGCCTGATGCCTGCAAAGGAGAAGGAGAGGGATTCAGCAGCAGCCATGCTGGAGCCTCCACAGTAACCAGCACCGGGGGTGTTGTGTCCAAGGAAAGCTCAAAAAATGAAGGCCTCTATGCATTCCAGATTGCAACAAGAAACCCTCATCGGATGAAGGAGACAAGGCTTAAGCAATTCTCTTGAACTTGGAACAGGCAAAGGGAACCGTCCTGTAGCTGTACTACAAATGCCACGCAGTATGTCAAGCTAGCCTCTATCCTTCCTTTTAGCACTGCAGAGGTGATCAGAGCACCAGTGAAGAACTCCAGATTAGGGACAAGATTTCACAAACTCAGCAAACAACAGCAGCAGGGCAAAAAGATTTTGGGCTACCAAAGCGAGCCAGAAATTTAACTACCTGCCAAGAAAACCAAAGATTGCTGGTGTCCATACATTCCCTAGCCACCCTCATCCTGGCTCAATGCTGTGACTAGTGCTTGACTGGTCATGTGTCAACATTTTGAAGCATCCTTGTAGAAAGGTGGACAAATTCCAAACAAGGGCCTCAATTATCCTTTAAAAAGGGCACATAAGCAGCATTCCTGTAATGAGCACATACAGGGAAACAATCCCTTCTGTCAGTTCCTGCCTGCCGTGGTATGGGATGGCACGTGTAGACAGTATCACCCGTTCTGAGAAGCGGCACTCATTACGGAACACTCCAGAAAACAAGTCTCTGGAAACAGGGCAGAAGGGAAAGTTGGTTCATTATCTCATTTATGGGATGAGGTGAGAAAAAAGTAAGATTGAAGCAAGCAAGCTTGCGCACAAAAGCAGCCACGCTGGGGGGCGGCTCCCTGACTTGGCCACCAGCTCCAGAAAAGGAAGCAGAATTGTACTGCATGGCCCAAAAGGGGGGGGGGGAGAGCAGAGGAGGACTGAAGAGCCAGTAGAAAGGGCAATGAGGAATTGCATGCATGTTCCCATTGTCACTTACACAAGTCGAAGTATCTAGCAGCTTTTGTCAAGAAATGCACAACTGCTATGAAGTGCCATCACTAAATAAGGAGACAGCCTTAGTCAATAGCACCTTGGGAGAAATGAGGAGGGTGTACATTGGGGATAGATTTCAACCTGTGAGTAAGCATTTCGGCAAGGGGGGGGAGGGGGCGCGTATTACAAACGCAGACCTCCCAGGTTCTCTTTCCAGCACCGAAAGGAGTTTTGGCAAGCTAGCGCCTCAGGAGTAGCTGAGACAGCACAAAGTGGAAACCACTGCACAAAGGAAGCTGTTGAGGAGGAAGACAACATCCAGGGTTCCGATTAGCATATTCTAGGGCAAGAATGATCTGCAGGTTCACCCCACCCCCACCGGGTGCGTGCCCCAGACTTAATGACAGCAACAATGGCCTACCCTCTGCAGTTTTGCATTTCTTGCAAAGGAAGCTTGTTAGAGCGCAGCAAAAAAGGAGAAGGAGACCGGGGTAAATAATGCAAGCGAGAATGTCCGAATTCCCTCCCCAAGCTTACAAGTGCAAGAACAAAAGCTAAAGCAAACGTGAAGGGAAGAAAGCCCGCGTGCTCAGAACCGGAGCTCGGCCTCCTGGGTACCAACCTCAGCCCCTCAACCACAGAACTTGTAAAGAAGACGGTCCCCAGAATTTGGGGGTTTGAAGGAATAGCAGGGAGGAGAGGAGAACGCATCCCCCCCCTTAATCGCCCCTCCCAATAGCCACGTGACTAATAAGAGAGCTGAGGAGACGACACTCAGGTGAAGCGTATATAGAACACACACACACACACCCAAGCAGGCAGGGAAGCCCCCCCAAAGCCCCCCACAAAATGGCGGCCAGGAAACAAGATGGCTGCCACTGTGGGAGGGGGGCGTGGGGGAAGGGGCGAGGGGGGGCACATCGTCCTTACCATGGTGCTGTGGGCGAGGGAGGGAAGGAGGAAGGGTGGATATGCGGTGGAGGTACTTCTACAGCTGCTCCTCGCACTCTCGGCTTCCTCAGCGGCGACTTCGACCCGGTCTGCGCATCAAGCGAGGCCTGAAAGGAACTGCTGCCCCGCCCCGGCTCGGCGCTTCCACTTTAAGCCAACCTCCAGGAGATGCCGCTTCCGGTCCGGTCTCGAAGGGTATTTTGGGAAATCGAGTCCTTGTCCCCCTGTCCTGGGCGCGCGCGCTCCTGTCTCCTTCGGCGCATGCTGGGAATTGTGTGTGCTCCCGCCGAAGCCGGCTTTGTGTTCTGCCCCTTCCCCCACTCGTGGTCCAAAGGGATGGCGGGGCATCCTCCAGCTTGATGGGATATGCAGTCTTAGCGAGCTAATGGCAGGGAAAGTGCTCAAAGGATTCAAGCTTATGTTTAGGTTAGTCAAGTTTGTGTCTTTTTCGGACACTGCACGTGCCTGGAGGAACTCCGACTATGTGCAGAAAGCGTTTGACTTCCTCATCGCCTCTTTATCCACGCCTATCATTAGTTTCAGACGACTAAAAAGCGAACGAGACAGCAGCAAGGGTTTTATTGTTATTATTATTTGGTTTATTTAAAAAATGTTTACCCCATCACAACAATCTCTGGCAGCGAATTCCACATTTTAATAACTCTCTGTGTTAAAGTAGTATTTCCTTTTGTCTGTCCTGAATCAGCTTCATTGGATGCCCTCAAGTTCTAGTATTTGGGGAGAGAAAAATTTCTCTTTGTCAACTCTCTCCACACCATGCATACTTTTATAAACCTCTATCATGTTCCCCCTTGCCTTTTCTCATTGGGAGGGTGCTCTGACGCCCTAATCATCCTGGTTGCCTTCCACTGTACTTTTTCCAGCTCTGCAATATCCTTTGGCAGATATGGTGATCAGAGGCCATACCATAGATCAATACAGGGGCATCATAATATCCTTCCCTAATAATCCCTAACATAGAGTTTGCCTTTGTCACCACTGCAGCTGTTGACACTTTCATCCACTACAACCCCAATATCTTTTCCCCTCAGTCTCAGCAAGTTTGTAGTATAGACACATTATGAATAATATGGTGTGAATACCCTCCAATCAAAAAGTGAAATTTACTCAAATGTGTAGAACTGAAAGAGAGACAGCTATTTTACCTTCCCAGCATGCATCCAAACAACCAGTTAAAGGTTCAAGTCCCGCAGGTGCTGCCTAGCCTTTTCATAACTCATACGATTCAGGACAGCATCTCAGAATCTTTTCCAGCAACTCTTTCATCAAGTTCAAACCCCATTAGCCTATACTTGAAGTGGGGATTTTTTGTCCCAATATGCATCACTTTACACTTACCAACAGTGAACTTCATTTGCCACATCGTCCCCCACAGAAGAGATTAGGAAAAGATGGCAAGAATACACAGAAGAACTATACAAGAAGGACCTCAATGTCCTTGGCAACCACGATGATGCAATCACTGACCTTGAGCCAGACATCCTGGAATCCAAAGTCAAATGGGTCTTAGAAAGCATTGCTAACAACTAAGCTAGTGGAGGTGATGGTATCCCAGCTTCGAAGTGTTTAAAGATGGTGCTGTTAAAGTGCTGCACTGATTTTGCCAGCAAATTTGGAAAACACAACAGTGGCCACAGGATTGGAAAAGGTCAGTTTACATTCGAATCCCAAAGAAGGGCAATGCCAAGGATTGTTCAAACTATCGCACAATTGCACTCATTTCACACGCTAGCAAGGTCATGCTCAAGATCCTACAAGCTAGGCTTCAACAGTACATGGACAGAGAACTGCCAGAAATACAAGCTGGGTTTCGAAGAGGGAGAGGAACTAGAGATCAAATTACCAACATTCGCTGGATTATGGAGAAAGCAAGGGAGTACCCGAAAAACATCTACTTTTGCTTCATTGACTACGCTAAAGCGTTTGATTGTGTGGATCACAACAAACTATGGCAAGTCCTTAAAGAGATGGCAGTACCAGACCACCTCACATGTCTCTTGAGAAACCTGTATAAGGGTCAAGAAGCGACAGTTACAACTGATTGGTTTAGCATAGGAAAAGGAGTATGACAAGGATGTATATTGTCCCCTTGCTTATTTAATTTATATGCAGAGTACATAATGCGAAATGCCAGCCTGGGAAAAACATCAACAACCTCAGATATGCAGACAATACCACTCTAATGGTAGAAAGTGAAGAGGACCTAAAGAGCCTCTTGCTCAGCATGAAAGAGGAGAGCGCAAAGGTTGGCTTGAAACTCAACATCAAAAAAACTAAGATCATGGCATCCAGCCCCATCACTCCTTGGCAAATAGAAGGGGAAGTCGTGGAAGTAGTGACAGACTTCACATTCCTGGGATCCAAGATCACTGAGATGGTGACTGCAGTCATGAAATTAAAAGACGCCTGCTCCTTGGGAGGAAAGCAGTGGCAAACCTTGACAGCATAATACAAAGTAGAGACATCACCCTGCCAACAAAAGTCCATATGGTCAAAGCAATGGTATTCCCAGTAGTCATGTATGGCTGCAAGGGTTGGACTATAAGGAACGCTGAGCGCCGAATAATAGATTCTTTTGAATTATGGTACTGGAGAAGACTCTTGAGAGTCCCCTGGACCGCAAGATCAAATCAGTCAATCCTAAAAGAAATCAACCCTGACGGTTCCCTGGAAGGCCAGATACTGAAGCTGAAGCTCAAAAACTTTGGCCACCAAATGAGAAGGGAGCACTCACTGGAGAAGACCCTGATGCTGGGAAAGACTGAAGGTCAAAGAAGACGGGGATGGCAAAGAATGAGATAGTTAGACAGTGTTATCAAGGCAACGAACATGAAATTAAGCAAACTCCAGAGCACGACGGAAGACAGGAGGGCCTAGCGTGATGTGGTCCATGGGGTCGCAAAGAGTTGGACTCACCTGTGCGACTGAACAACAACCCCCACTCAACCCAGTTTGTGGAGATCCTCTTGGAGCTTTTCATAGTCAACCTTGGTTTTCACCATCCTGAATAATTTTGTGCCATCTGCAAACTTGGCCACTGCACTACTCACCCCTAGTTCCAGATCATTTATGAATACATTAGAGTACTGGCCCCAGTACTGATCATTGTGGGACCCCACTGCTTACTTCTCTCCATTGTGTGAAGTCTGAACTGTCCATTTATTCCGACTCTTTGCTTCCTGTCATTTAATCCATTTTAAATCCATAAGAGAACCTGGCCTCTTATCCCATGACTGCTATGTTTACTCAGGAGTCTTTGGTGAGGTACCTTGTCAAAAGCCTTTTGAAAGTTGAAGCATATAATGCCTACCGGGTCACTGTTATCTACATGTGTGTTCACTTTCTCAAAGGACTCCAAAAGATTGGTGAGGCAGGACTTCCCTTTGCAGAAGCCATGCTGATTTTTCCTCAGCAGGCTTTGCCCATCTATGTGCCTAACAATTCTATCTTTGATTGATTACAGTTTCTACTAGTTTGCCTTGGGCAGACATGAGGCTGACTGGCCTGTACTTTCCTGGTTCCCCTCTAGACCCCATTTTAAGAATTGGTGTAACATTTGCTACTCTCCAGTTGTCTGATACAGTGGCTGAATTTAGTGATAGTTTCCATGGTAGAGCGTTTTAAAAATGTGACACCTCACACGGAATCTCAAGCACATTCTACTCTACCACTTCAGAATTCTATCACCTAATTCTACTGCAGGAATAACCAGGCCGAGTCTTTCAGTTTCCACAAGATTCACTTATTTTGCAGGCTGTAACAGGCTTTTCAGTTAAAAAGTACTGCTAAAAGGTCAGCTGTTTCCTCCACAGTTCATCCTGACATTAAAGAATCTGAGTAAAGGTAAAGAATCCCAACTCTAGGGGGCTGTGCTCATCTCCGTTTCCAAGCCAAAGAGCCAGCGCTGTCCGAGGACTTCTTCGTGGTCATGTGGCCAGCATGACTAAGCGCCAACGCGCACAGAACGCTGTTACCTTCCCACCAAAGTGGTACCTATTTATCTACTTGCAATATCTTGCTTTTGAACTGCTAGGTTGGCAGGAGCTGGGGCCAGAGATGGGAGCTCACTCCATCACGCAGCACTCGGGTCTCGAACTGCCAAACTACAGACCTTCCGGTCTGCAGCATCTTAACCTCTGAGCCACCATGGCTCCCAAAAATCAGTAGTTTTTCTTAAAACTGTAAAATGTACTCCGAAATGTATGTAGAAATACAAAAATGAAGATCTTCTCAATAAATTAGTTAAATATAAATGAGTTATACACTAAACATATACAAAGTGACTGTCTTTCATAACAAGAACCATATTTAAAAACAAACAAACAGCTCTTAGGGCACAGTGCCTTCAGAAAACATTAGAGTGCTTCCCACTCTGAAGGGTAGCACGTTTTTCTTAATGTTAATGGAAAAGGGGCCAGTAACGGCCTGTATCCAAACACATGGTTAAGAAAACATAAGTACCATTATGAGGAGTGACAATCTCCATTGATTCCCCTCCTCACTGTAAAAGCCCACACACACAATTTTTGTTCTGGGGGGTCAGCAGCCCTCTGGGATGGCGTAATGGGATTCTGCAGTAGGAGGGGAAAGCGTTCCTAAGTGGTACAGCCCTTTTTAACACTTCAGCATTTTACCACCTAATTCCCACGTCCCTTTCCCCTGCATGTGTGAACCCAGACATCATTGCATGTAGTAGAGGAGAATTTCTGCCAACGTATCTCCTTCTGCTGCAAACGCTAGGAGAAGCCGCACCTGCCAAAATTGTACACAGAAGCTCTGTGCCATAACGAATCTGGATACCAAATTTCACCTTTTTGGCTCCAAATATGCCAACCCTCCTCCAACAGATTCCTGGTTGCTCTGTGATGAAGGGTATGTGTGTTTATAGGAATCTGGACTCCCACATTCAGTTGACTTGGCAACCGTAGAATGTGTAAAACTCAGCCAGGCTCCCAGTGAAGCAGAGTTCCTTCCTAACCATGGGAAGAGTGAATGAAAGATTTTGGAAGGGCATAAGGAAATGCAGTCCTGTTTTGTTTTTCCTTCCTTCTAAATTTCCCATGGCAGGGTAAGGGGCGGGGGGGATGGGAATTTGGGGAGACTGGCATTATAAGATTGTCAGATTTCTTGAGTCACACA